CCAGAGAGAGCAGAGAGAGAGAGAGAGAGACAGAGACAGAGAGACAGAGACAGAGACAGAGACAGAACAGAGAAGAGAGACAGAGACAAGAGAGACAGAGACAGAGACAGAGAGAGAGACAGAGACAGAGACAGAGACAGAGACAGAGACAGAGACAGAGACAGAGACAGAAGAGAAGAGAGACAGAGAAGAGGAGAGAGGAGAGAGACGAGAGACAGAGAGACAGAGCAGAACAGAGAGACAGAGACACGACAGAGACAGAGACAGAGACAGAGACGAGAGGACAGAACAGAGAGACAGAGAAGAGACAGAGACAGAGACGAGAGACAGAGACGAGAGAAGAGACAGAGACAGAGACAGAGATGACAGGAGACAGACAGACAGAGACAGAGACAGAGACCAGAGACAGAGAGAGACAGAGACGAGAGAGAGAGAGAGAGAGAGAGAGAGAGAGAGAGAGAGAGAGAGAGAGAGAGAGAGAGGAGAGAGAAGAGAGAGAGAGAGAGAGAGAGAGAGAGAGAGAGAGAGAGAGAAAGAAGAGAGAGAGAGAGAGACCGTCACCATCAGATAGACAGACACATATGTTCTCATGGGTGGTACTGATGACATATATGTATTCATGGGTGTACATACACATGTATGTGTGTATATATTTGCGTGTCTGTGTGTACGTGTGTATTATTACGTCTTCCTACCAACTGTGTGGTACGTCATGCATAAATTAACGTGTGTGTATGTGTAAAAGCAAATCGTGAAAGCGTGAATACATTTTAGCAAAGTTACTCCCGTGAAATAACCAGGTAAAGGAGTCTTTGTAAACACAGAATCTGTTGGCAATGAACCCCGTTTCGTTGGCACACCGCTTGTTGGCAGGATCACTAGCGCTCTTAGTACATATAGTAAGTTACTGATATATTGGCAGATGCACAGGGTTGATATTGACACCGGGATGTTGACATAAGTGCAAGACGGACCGTATCAATTATCATTCTTTGGGGGTTTAGGCTACTGAGGAGTGCGAATGGACATGGCTGTGCGATTCTCAGTACATGCAAACGGTCTGATAAGATGAGCTACACATCATAACTATAGATATATGTATGTGTGTGGTGTGTTGTGTGTGTGTGTGGTGGTGTGTGTGTGTGTGTGTGTTGTGTGTGTGTGTGTGTGTGTGTGTGGTTGTGTGGTGTGTGTGTGTGTGTTAGTTGTGTGTGCGTGTTGTGTGTTTATATCTAGTTATACTGTGTATGTATTGTTGTTTGTACGTGTGTATGTGTATGCGCGCGCCCGGAAAAAAATAGCGAGATAAATAAAAACAATAGGGAAACCCATTCATAAGCACAAATACAAGCTCGGCATTGCATACATATAGAAGAAATACGGAAACAACCACAAGAAAGGGAAATAGTAATTCATTTTTTGGTAGGCCTAGACTCAGACGACAAAAAGATGATGATCCATATTTCGAAATACCCCTTATGATACTTTTGTGATGGGAGAGCTTCGTATTTTTGGATATATTACGAATTAAAGAAGAAAATTGTAGCCACAAACATACCATCTACACCAACAGACTGGAGTTGCCAGATCGCCAAACAAACAAACACACACACATACACACACACACACACACACACACAACACACACACACACACACACACACACACACACACACACACACACACACACACACACACACACAACACACACACACACACAAACAAAAAACAGGAAAAAAGAATATATATATATATATATATATATATATATATATATATATATATATATATATATACTATAAACTATCAGTAATATCATGCAAAACTGCCCGAACAAGAGCAAGAAACTCACATCACACAAGAAGAAAATCACATCACATAGGAGAGACTTACATCACATAATATAAAAAAATAAAAAATAAAATCACATCACATAGGAGAGACTCACACCACATAATAGAAAAAAAATCCCATTATATAAGATACAAAAAAAAACTCACATCACAAAAAGGGAAAAAACTCACAATCACATAAGAAAAAAAAACACATCACCCAAGACAAAAAAACTCACACCACATTATACAAAAAAACACCTCACATCACATAAGGCAAGAAAACCCACCACCAAAGGATAGCAAAACCACCCCTAGATGCTATGAGGCGACGGCAGCGAGGAGGAGTCCAGAGCAGATCAATGATGTTAACTATGAGTGCATAAGCCTACATGCTGGGTGGTGAGTCGTCCTCTCTCTCTACCTTGAGGTTTCGGTGCATTGCTGTAGTTTCGTTATAGGATTTCTTGTACGAATATTAATGAATTGGGCGTCGGTTTGTGTGCTGTGTGTGTGTGTGTGGTGTGTTGTGTGTGGGTGTGGAGGGGGGGTGTGGAGGGTGTGGGGGGGGGCGTGTGTGTGGTGGGGGGGGGTGCGTGTGTGTGTGTGTGTGTGTGTGTGTGTGGGGGGGGGGTGCGTGTGTGTGGGTGGTGTGTGTGTGTGTGTGT